CTTAAGCCCTCCAAACCACTCATACCAGCTACCAAACCAACTACTTGGATTGTACCCTTTCCATACCTGAGTAGGCACATGCGCTAGTTTAACCATATGGCTAGTAAGCTCAGCTATTGCTTGCCCTTCGTCATCTATTTGAAGACAGCAATTGCTCAGGTTAAACTTCCCACATACACCTCCCTCTACTGCCAAAAGATAATCCAAGGCTAATCTATTTTGGTAAACTGCTGTCCTCATCCTGGTATTATGCTTCGCTAGAAGATTGAGCGCTTGTGATGTCTCGTTAGTAATGATCTCAACCACCGCCTGTAACCTTATAATGCGGTTGAGCATATAAATAGGGGTTCTATAACCAAAGGTACCATCCTCTGCCCACGTGGCTGGCCCATAATAATCTATAATACGCTGGGGAGGCCATTCATTATCTTCCCAGGCACCTATCTCTATGGGTCCCCTTTTCTTCCTATGATTCACATCATACACTTTAACACCTAAAGTCTCACCTGTTTCAATAGGCAACAAGAAGAAGGATGGTTTTAACATACCCAACACACATGCCCCTTCCCAGTCCTGTGGTAACTCCGAATAGGCCTTCTTACCACAGATCCAGTACAAATTCGCTGGGGCTCTCCAGTTAGATGTGATGGATAGATCAAACCATACGTCCTTTAAATTGGTATATCTTGCAAACGGGTTAGATGGTTCTGAGACATTTGAAGCCGACCACCAAGTTGTATTCTTTGTATCATCATCATAAGCTTTTTGCCCTAGACAAGCTAATTCTCCTACAGAAGTATTATACATCATTCCTTTCCTCGCTATGCAAACATAACCTATGATGGAGGTCTTCAATCTCCACTCAGATTTACCTCTAACACTCATATGATAGTCGGCTTGTGTAGATATTAATTGGTCAACTGCCTCAGAACCGGACATTACCTCCTTTGCTTCCTAAGGCCATTGGTCTCCCATGTTAGTACCTCCACACACATAGCAGTTGGTAACATTAAGACTACCGGCAATACTCTCGGCTAAATCAATGAACAAGTTTTTAGCATTATGGGGATCTTATTATCTATGCTCATCTCTTCATAAAAGGAATGGTATACTTGATGAGTTTGGGAGGTTACCGTATCAGTCTCTATCCCTATAAACAATATTGTCCCAGGGTCTAAACCCGTCCCATATATTTGAAATCCAAATAAATTACCATATTTATCTAAGAACTTGTCAGGGTTATTTATAAGTATATGGATTGGATTGCATTCCATAGACTTACAATATGGATTAGTAGGCAACTTAGTCACAATCATGTCCTTGTCTGCTGTCTGTCCTCAAGTCGCCCACCCCACACAAGACCAATATGGGCAGAAGTTATAATCTCTATTTGGGCATCTTGGACTTACATATTTATTTTTACTACTGGGACAAATATATTTATCGTTAGACCCATACGCCCTCTCCCATCTAAGATCCCCACATACATTCCACGGCTTTCTACCACTTGATATTGCTTTACACGCATCAAATAGCAGAGCACCTGAAGAATATACGGATTTTAATACCGTCTTATTAAATAGGGTCCCCTGAGAATCTCCATTTCTGAGAGTCAACCAAATTGTACGGGGTTGATA